CGAAGCCGAAGCCGAGGCCGAGGTCGAGCGAGCGACGACGACGGCGCGAGGGGGCACCTTCTTCTTAACCCTTTAAGAAGTAAAGGAAGTGTTTCCTAATATAAGGACAACAATTTCCTCTCTTCTACCGATATGGTAAAAATGACTATTCATTTGCACTTTTGCAATGACTTTTCATTTTCCCTCCAAAATTGGTTCCCCCATTTTCATTGGTTCTTCCACTTTCCATTTTCTCTTTTCATTTCCCATTCACTATTTCCCATTCATACCTTGCTAAACCCAACATCAACCTCTATCCAAATCAACAATCTCAAATTCAAGTCCAAAATGACTACTTATTTGATCAAAAAAAAGAGAGAGAAGAAGCTAGAGAGAAACAACTGAAATAGTACATAATTTTTTTACTATCCCTCCCTAGGATTTTTCACCTTTTTGCTATACGACTCAAACTCACAATCAAGGATCGGAGGTATAAGGGGTGCTTACTGCTTACCATCCAAGCAACTCCCTCTCGTTAAATTCAACTTGATTGTTGAAAGAAATCAGCCAACCATTTCATCAATGCCTTAGCTTAATTTCTCACAAGTTGGCTTATTCAAATGAAAAACATGCTCTTCCCCTTCTGCTTCCTTAATTTCAACTTCACCTTTCCATCCACCGGTTAAATTGAATCCATTAATTCAAATTGCAGTAACCACGAAAATGGCGGGCATTTAAAGGGGACAAAAATGGATGGTATTAAGGGTGTCGAGTCCGGAGCCACAAGGGCAAGAAAATTTGTCGAAAATTCCAAAAGGGCAACAAAATTCAGTTAAGAACCAAAGGGTAACATTTTAACGCTCAAATTAACACCGTTGGAATTAGGTGAAATTGGGTAAGGCTCAAAATTCCATGAGTCGGCGTTATCTCTTGTAAGACGCGGCTGCGCCTTACAAGGCGCAGGGAATTTGAGCCTTCTCTTAAATTAATTTTTTTTTTCATTTTTTGTCTTCCCTTAAATTAAAAAAAAAAAAAAGTTTTTTCAGTTTTTACAAGTTTGCAAGTGACTTATTTTTTATTACTCTTGATTTTAGTCAAGTATTAAAATTATACTTGACAAAAACATTTCATCTTTTGTTTGAGATTCACTCCCATCACAAGATATATACATATTGGTTATTCTATATTTTTAACTATAAAAAAATGTTTTATTTAGTGTACATCACAAATGCAGATGAACATTGTGGTCCTATACTATGTTCATTTCTTAAACGAATTTAAAAAAATCAAATAAATTAAAATGGAGAAAATATAATTAATTAGGGGGCCTGCCAATTGAGCAAGATAAGTGATAAGTGATAAGTGACCATTAATAAATTTCTAATTCATTGAATACTTAGTATAAATATAACCCAATGTTGCTTCAATTTCTTCAGCCTTAATTAATTAATTATAACTAAGCTTTGAAGAAGAAGAAATTTTTTTTATGGGTGCCAGTTGAAGATTGTGCTCCTATTCATTCGTATAAGTTGCATTTATGGCTAAAGAATGCCATTAAAATTACTTAAATTGCTAAACAAAAATTTGTATGTCTTTGCATGCAAGTTTGAAGCAAATTTATTATTTATTTAATTTGTAAGCGAATTAATATTAAAAATATAAAATATAAAATATTTTAATTGTTCAAGAGAAAAATTGATTATTTTTTTTTTAAAATTTAAGGGGAGGCAAAAAATGAAAAACTGAAAAAAACTTTTTTTAATTCAAGGGAAGGCAAAAAAAATGAAAAAATGATTTTAAAAAAAAATTAATTTAAGGAAAGCCAAAGCGTGAAAAATTGAAAAAAGTTTTTTTTAAAAAATTTAAAGAGAAGGCTTGAATTCCTTGCGCCTTGTAAGGCGCAGCCGCCGCCGGGCCTTGCATGGCGCATGGAATTTTGAGCCTTACCCAATTTTACCTAATTTCAATGACGTTAATTTGGGCGTTGAAATGTTGACCTTTTAATTCTTAATTGAATTTTGTTGCCCTTTTGGAATTTTCAACAAATTTTCTTGCCCTTTTGGCTCCGGACTCTAAGGGTGTCTGTTGTAGAAAGGAAAATGATGTGTGAGTTTTTATTTTATTTTTCTTCTTCTGGGTGTTTGATAAGTAAGCAAAATATTATGAGAGGCGATAGTGGGAGCAGATAGGAGGATACGGAGGGTGGAGTGAAAATGAGTGTGGGGACACAACCGATGTGGAATAAGAAATACGATGAATTTAATAATAAAATAAAATTTAAGTAACAATTAAAATAAATATGACATTTAAACTAAAACGTGTTGCAATACTATAGAATAGGCAACACCATCAAAAGAAGCTGTATTAATCATCAAAAAGGTAATAAAGGCAATTGTAGCCTTTTGTTAGTTAACCTAACCCTAGTGGTAGCTTTAGGCAAAAAGAGAAATCCTAAAACTAGAATGGTTTGGCAGCCAAAGTTTACTTGTTCAAAATCACAATTTTTATCCTAAAACTAGAATGGTTTGGCTGTGCCAAAGTTTACTTAATTTTACATGTATCAAAATCACAATTATTACCATGAATCACAATAAGCGCTCCTTACAAAAGAAAAGGGATTACTTTGAATCTAAAGTCAAAGATAAGGGAAATTTTATTGAAACAACTACTACATTATACAAGTTTTATATATAATAAATATATTTGTACCCATACTTCTTGTGGTCTTTTTTTGCTTGCTAATTTACATGGCAGGGGTCTTTGTCAAATTTTCCATATATATGGATAGTGTAAAAAATTTGAATTCCTCACTATATTATTAAGAACAAGAACATGATTACATTTGCAATTGTAATACTCAAGCTATTGAATAACAATGAAAATACTGAAAATTACAAGTAACTAGAAGATAGAGATAAGAATGAAGATGGGAATTACCTTTAGACTCGATAAAGAAGATGAGAGAAACATACCGTTTCTTCACAACATGCATAATTCTTGAATCACATACCACTGTCCCTTTTGATAGAATCGTTCTCACACCCACTATTCAACACAGATCCCAAATTAACCCGACTCTGTTGCTTATTCACAGTCCTATAGCTTATCAGTCCAATAACACGTTGTGTGACATTAGTATTTACATTGGACTGAACTTGATTCATAACATATAACAAACGAAAATATACATATTTAATTAATTTAAACATTGAAGTTTGGTCTTGTTTAATTTCTAGTGATAATTTCTAGAAACAAGACACAAAGGTTTTTTCTTATGCATAGTAAGTCCAGGCAAAACATCAGTGTCGATGTCTTCTTTGTTCATTCCACGAGGCAACTCCCAATCAAAAGCGTAAAGAAGATTGGAAAGTACAAGTTCCACAGTAGCCACACCGAGTGCGATAGCCGGACACCCTCTTCTGCCTGCTCCAAATGGAAGCAATTCAAAATTTTGGCCCTTAAAATCAATATCACTATTCAAAAACCTTTCAGGTATAAATTCTTCTGGATTTTCCCATATTTCGGGATCTCTTGCAATAGCCCAAACATTAACATAAATTATAGTTTTTGGTTTAATTTCATATCCTTCTAGTATGGAATTTTGCATAGTCTCTCTTGGTAGTAACAATGTAGTTGTGGGATACAATCTAAATGTCTCTTTTATCACTAATTTAAAATATGGAAGATTTTGGATATCTTCCTCATTCACTATGGACTTTTTCCCAACGAATTCTCGAATTTCAGCTTGAACTTTCTTCATTGCATTCGGTTTGGCTATCAAGGCTGTCATTGCCCAAATTATTGTAGCTGCGCTAGTGTTCACTCCACCAACTAGCATATTCTACAAGAGAAAGTGGGAGGATAAAATTAAATGCAACATTTCATATCATAATATGATATTGCATTTGCACCCCAAATATGACCACATAAAAACCTTAGTTGATATGCAAGAATGTTAATATATCAAGTCAATATATATAACAATACACAAGACTTGCTTATTATGTAATAATTTTTGACATCTAGTCATGATTAACTAATATGTATTTGCACTTCAATCTGTTAATTCATTCGTAAGATTATTTTAAAAAAATAGACATAAATAGAGTAGTTCATTACCATGATAATAGCCTTTATGTTGTCTATAGTAAGATCGATTGAAGTGTTGGGTTCTGAAGGGTGATTAGGGTGTCATGCGGAAGGTTATAATTTGCAAATCATATAGTTGATAAATCAGATAACAAAAACTTATACTAAAAATCAAAATATTATTATATCAAAACAAATATAAAGAAAAACATTGAAACTTTAGAGAGAATAAATCTCCCCATAAACAAGACTCTTAAACGACTACATTGTGGATGTTATTGTTATTATGTTAGAAGAAACAAACCTATATTTATAGAGTCCTAAAACCTTTCCTACTAGAAAAGGAGTCCTAAAAGGAGAGAATAAAACCAAAATATGAAAGAATATTATATTTTTCTTTCAAGAAAAGTAAAAACATTTATGGTAATGTTTTGTCTTTTCTTTAAGGAAAAATAAATCTTAAAATTATGGTAAGAAAATCAGGGTAAAACCCTAATATGAAGTTGATTTCTCTTTCTTCAATTGAAGCAAAACATCAATAATATCTCCTTCCATGGATTTTGGCCTATTAGGATTGAGATGTTGCTCAATGAGTTCTTCATAAAATTCATCCAAATCCTTAAAATTTTCTCAAGTCTATTTATTTTTCCGGAGAGTTTATCCATCCATCCGAAGAGAGGAAAATAATCAGAGACAAAAAAACATGCCAACATTTCTTCCGTCACTTTTAAAAGTTCATCCAATTTCCTCCTTTCATGTGTTTCTTCATCATACCTTACACCAAAAGCAATTCTACAAATAATTGTAGTTGTTAGTGAAATCACTATACTACTCAAATCTGTAATTTGAGAAGTGGTTGCTTGTTGAGATATTTTTTTTATCATTCTTGATACTTCATCTTTATGAATTGGACTAAAATATTGCATTTTCTTAAGACTAAATAAATGAACAACACATATTTTTCGAAGTTCTCTCCAATAGTCATTGTAAGGTGACATGGCAATATCTTGACCATTGTATGACAATTTTTGCTGGCCAAGAATAGAAGGTCTATTACAAAATGTTAAATCTTGTATTTGTGTTACCTCTTTTGCTAGATTTGCTGAAGAAAATACAATCATAGTAGTAAAACCATGTTTCAATGAGAAGATTTTTCCATATTTCTTGGAAAGTTTCCAAAGATAGATATGAGGGGTTAAACTATCAAATTGATGCAAATTTCCAATGAATGGCAACCCTAAAGGACCTGGTGGTAGAATGTTTTTTCCATTCCTTTTGGCTTTAGGAAGCAGGAAACTGAGAATAATGATAATAAGAAGGGCTACAAAAAGTGGAAAAAGCATCATGTATTTTTTGGAAAAGTCACTTGAAATGTCTTCTATATCTTGTATTAAGATTTTCCACAATTTCTTTCATTTATAGTACTCCCTGGCTTGATGTGGATTACAATATATAGTTAAACGTGAATTTGAATATAAAGTCTTTAATTATATATAATCTAAATAAATACGATAAGAGAGGTGTCGGTGAGGGGAGTAGGGGTGTAGGCAGTACGCATATTGGTGGCTATGAGGTGGGGTGAAGAACTGAAGATGATGTGTGTATTTGAAGAGTGGTGGAGGACACAATTAATGCAGATATTTCAATTGTGAAACTTGTTTTTCTGTACTCTCACTATAAAAATTATTTTCCTCATTATTAAGGAACTTGATTTTTTAGAGAAAATATTTTCCAAAACTCTTAACTAACTGCGAACATGAAAATATTTAAAAATATTTTATGTTTAAATATAGTATATTTTTTTGCACAAAGTTATTAGTGAAAGGCATATGTTTACCACCTATTAATCAAGAATTCAAACACTTTATGTAAATACTATACTTCTCATATTTTGTCTTGTTGTATTAATTCATACGAACCATATAACATAGTTATAAATGGAAAGTATGAATAAACTGATCAAGTGGCCAGGACAAATATAAGTGGAATAATGGTAGTATTTATCGTCATGTGAATTCAAAATTTAAAATTTATAAATTATTTTTGTAATGATCTTAAGCTAAATTCACCTAAACTCATTTACGACACTAGCTAACTAGCTAGATCAAATTTTACACAACTTGTTAATTTCTCCACCAAACCTCTGAAAACCACTTTAATGTCTTTCAATTATTGCACGTTGCAACAAGAAATATCCAAAAAAAATATTAAGGGACTTAATTACCTTGATGTAAACTGATACCTACCTGGCATATAAGTCATGAAAATGAGTTTTGTAGCATGTGCCATATAAGTCACTAGGACAAAAATAATTTTTAGCGGTAATAAATATGTACATTAATAAATAGTGTTAAATTTTTTATCAGCATTGATTGATTGTCATTGGATCCAAGGTCTCTATAGACTTTAGGGACATTTACAAAGAGTGTTAATTGCCTCTAAAAACATAAAGAGTTAAAATTTTCGATCAATTACTCGTTCGTTTATTTGACTCACGTATGATGATTCAATTATTGATTGATAATATAATATATATATATATATATATATATATATATATATATACACACACATCATTTTGCATGTCAATTTCAGTCGATATCATGATTAATTATCAGGGTCGTTTGGTAGGTATATAAGAATAATGTTAAATAGAGTATTAATAATGTTTGTATTAGTAATGTTTGCATTAGTAATGCTTGTATTAATTATGCTTGCATTTATTATGCATAGATAAAGTGTATAACTTATGCTGGTATTAGTTATACATAGATTGCAAATTGCACCAAATAAGATATTACTAACTAATACATCAAAGGTTATGCATATATTATTTCTTCTAATACATTCTATCAAATGATCCCTAAATTACTTAATCATTATAAGTTGAAATGGTTTGTCAAAGGTGGTGGAGTCAGCCGGTCAAGATCAAGGCCTTAACATTTAGTGGTAAAGTCAGAAATTTTGTAAAAAGTGTTCAAATTTTAAAGGAGTGGTAGATGCACAAATTAATTTTTCCCTACTCATGAGTGGGAGCACACACTTGGCTAAGTGTGGGTGCATAATTTTTTTCAACTCACAATTCTTTTGAACAAAAAGCAAGCAATAAAAACTAAAAAAAATAATTAAGAATCTAGGTGTGTTTGGTATGGAGAAAAATATTTTGCTATTTTCATGTTAGTTGGTCAATATATTTTAGAAATTATTTTTTCTAGAAAAACAAGCTCCTTAAAAATGAGAAAAATTATTTTTCTAACGAAAGTAAAAAAAACAAGTTCCAAAGTAATTACATTATATTAACATATATAATTATAAAAAAATAATTTATCATATAAATCACTATTGACATAAAAAAAAGTCAACAAAATTAACTTTAGCTAACAATTAAATTATATATAAATAATAACGCATATATCAAAATAAATGTGATAAAATAATAATAATAATAATAAAATTATCATGAAACATTAAAAAAGCTATTGATAATCTCAAAAAGAAATAATAGTAAGGAAAAAATGTGTATTTTTTTCATTTTTATTGATCGAGGTAAAACATAGAAATAAGGAGAACAATATAGACGTATTTAGTTGATGCGCATGTAGTTAACATAAAAAAATAAAAATAGAAAGATAGTAAAAGAATATGTAATGTGTCTAAAGTTATTTAAAAGAATGATTTGTAGTGTCTAATAAAAAACCCAAAAATAAATTCTTATGTAGTATGCGTAAAATATGGGGCCAACAATAAAGTGAAAAAAAACAAAAAAAAAGAAGAAGATGGTAGCAGCCTAGCAGGGATTGAATAGCAAACCTCCAAGTTCCAACTAAACAACCTTACCACAGGATTATCTCCCTCAATTTGATAAAGTGTGTTCAATTATTTAAATAACAAAAAAATACAAAACATTTTACTTGTATACACGATGCAATTTTTTTGACGAAAGGTGTTCAGTTGATCACTCTTCGTTGGTTGTGGCTCCGCCCCTGTTACCATCATGCCAAAAGCTATAACTGATAACAATTATGCAACTTTATTTCTTAACTAAGAGCACGTTTGACATTATTATTGGAAGACCATTAACACTTATTTTGAGGAAAAAAATATTATTATTTTTTTTAGGAAAAGGGTCTGAAAAAATACTCCAACTTTGGCTGAAATTGTTGTTACGATACCAAACTTTATGGAGGACCTTTTATCCTCTGAACTATTTAATAGTGTATTTTTTACCCCTTGAACTATTTAATAGTGTATTTTAAAGGTATATATGCACCCACGTGGACACATTACTATTTATAATTATGTATTATTTTTTATGTCTACGTGGACAAATATATATGTTTAAAATATGGTATTAAATAGTCTGGGGGTAATAGGTCCTCGTTAAAGTTTGGTATCGTAACAACAATTTCGGCCAAAGTTGGGGTATTTTTCAGACCCTTATAAAAAGGCATTTGGCAAATCACTAAAAATGCTTTTAAATGAAAGCAAACACAATTTTTCTATTGTTGAGAAGAAGCTAAAAAAAATTGCTTCTTAAATAAAACAGAAGTAGAAAATTATCTTTTTAAAGACCAAAATATCCCTTCCGTATTTACATATTTACCACTATATCCATTATTAATTAATTAGCATCTCATAAGTTTGGTTAAGTTTCATTTTCATTTAAGAAATAAATTTATATATAATAATTTTTTAATTTTATTTTGCATTTATTACTATTATTTATATTTGATATTTTTAATTATATTTAAATTATCATGTTATTATTATATCAATATTGATTTTTTTTTAATTTTCTATGTATAATATTGACTAAAAAAATTAAATATGTACTTTTAAATTTATAAAAATAAAAATTTAATTAATTTTATAATAGCTATTTAAAATATTTTTCTCTCTATAAAATTTAAAATATATTGATGCTTGTCTTTTTTTTAAAAAAAATTGACTCTTAAAAGCATTTTTTTTAAAAAAGATTAGTTAACAGAATCTGTTTATCAGAAACACTTTTCAAACGAATTAACCAAACACAAATTGTTTTTTTTTCAAAAGCACTTTTCTGAAAAACTATTTTAAAAAAGTGGTTCTAGAAATAATTAAGTTGTTTTAGCAACAATGTCAAACAAGCTCTAAGTCCCCCAAACAGTGTCATGTTGGATCATGACTCCAACCCGGGTCACCCAGCCCCTCGTGGGTCTTGCCATAGCCAAGATGTTGACATTACCCAACATGCAGAATGTTGCTCTTGTAAATCGAACTCACGACATTGACGACTCTGATACCACTTGTTAGGATCAAACACACCATCCAACCCCCCCGTGGGCCTTCCCATAGACATGATTCGATGTTGGCATTACCCAAAACTTTGGAACCATGATAGGTGAAATTGGAAAAGTCTCTTTTTGATTATTCCCAACAATGTTACTAATAAGGCCAACATCGTTAAGTTACATGAAAATAACACTAACATATATACTATATTGGTCTCTCCAACCTAATGGCGTGTTCTCTACCAAATCAGTGTGTCACCTTCTCGAAACTAATAATGTTTCGACATATGTCTTCCGATGGATTTGGTCCCTTATTACGCTTTATAAGATTAAGTTATTGATATGGTTATGCTCCCATAACATCCTGCGAATTCACACCTTCATCATTTAGGGATGATCACTCATGTTCTCTCTATCGTAGAGCTATAGAAACCATTGAACATACCTTCATGAAATGCTATATGGTTAGGAAAGTTTGGTTAGATATGAGGCTGGATATGCATCACATCGTTAATACCAGGGGCAGATCTATTAAGGTCCGTGGGGTGCCACGCCACCCACAAACTTCGACGGAAACTCTATTTATATATAAGTATTTATATACAATATATGTATAAATAAGAAACGTGCCACCCATAAAACAAAAGTATTCTTTGGCGCAGTGGTAGACCATCTACTTAATGGATCTTAGTTCGTGGGATCGATTCTAGCTAGCAGCAGGCAGCGTTTCTTTTTTAAACTACAACACATTCTCTTTTGTTTTTTTGATTTTTTTTACTTGTTAACTTATTATTAAGTATTAATCTATAATTATTTGTTAACTAATTTAATTCAACTCTTTTGTCTTTTCTTAATGATTAAATATGAAAAAAAAAGTTCTCTTCACCGTTGAAACTCTGGCTCTTCTTTTAAACTTTTGAACAACAAAAATCTGTCATTAATTAAAGCTTCAGCCTTCCGTACATCGCCCAATCCCGCTCTCCCATCCAGCCACAAGACGAATAATTCTATCTGAATCTAAAATTGATTTAATCGATGAGTCTACTGGCGAAGGAGAATTCTTTAACTGTTCGGTGTCGGCATCTTTTCCTACCTCCCTCATTAGAACGCATGCTCCTTTGATGAAAGATCGCAGGTGTGGCTCCTTCCTATGGTCTCTACTGCCAACTCGTTTCACTCCAGTTTACCGTAGCAACTACAGCAAGCTGACTAGAGGCGAATCTAAAATTTGAATATTTCG